ATATATATATATATATATATACATACATACATACATACATACATACATACATACACATACATACATGAAATCAAATTACATCTAGGAATTGCTGAAGATTGTTTTTAAATTATCAGTATATTTCTAAAAACAAACCTCGGAGACTTCTTCGGCTACATCCCATGCAGAATTACCCAGAAATTAGTTTCATGAAACTCAGAAGGATTTCTATCAGAGGTGGTATTCAGCAGGTCTGACCAGTTCTGGAGAACCGGTAGCGGGAATTTTGAGTAGTTTGGAGAACCGGCAAATCCCACCTCTGACTGGAGATTTTACAGTCTCCTTCCCCTGCCACGCCCACCAAGCCACGCCCACAGAACCGATAGTAAAAAAATTTGAATCCCACCACTGATTTCTATCCATACAGACACTTATATAATTCTGTTGCCAAGTTGCAAAAAAAAAAAATCCTCCATAATCCTGATCCACCAAGGTTGTTGCATGTTTCTGCAACCTATGTGGAAATCCTAGGAGATTGGGCAAAGAATAGAAAGATTTGAAAGTGCTCAGTTCAAATCTCTTCCACAAGTATTAGTTTCTCTAAAGCAATTTACTATTGTTCTGTCTAGCACAGATCAAGGGGAAAAAATCCCTACTATGTTTTTTTTTTCCTTTTTATCTTAATTGTGTGGCAAATGCAGTGTCCAAATCAGGAAGCTAGGCAGCCAGGCCTGTTTGGGTCAAGAAACTTTAAACTTCCTTTCAAGAAGGGAACGTGATAGCCTCGGGCTTTTTGTGCTAAAATGTAGCCAAAGGGTATGTGAAAATGTTCTTTATTTTAGAAATATCTCTTCAGTGGTATGCATTCTGCTTGATTCCCAGTGCATCAGTTAAATCCCATGAGAAGTTTTAGGAGGAATTCATCCCATCTTTTCAAAGCAGTTATCAGGGTGGGGGGTCACCTTGGAGAAATTGTAGGAGAAACCATCCATCCAGTTGCTCTGCCCACAAACATAGTGAAGCATTTTGTGTCCTGCTCTAGTTCTGTTTCTAAGCCTCAACCTTCTCTCCAGTATGCTAATGCTAATATGGAATAGTAATATTGGCAGGTCTTAAGGGCCTATTGTAAGGATTATAGATATGTAATACTATATAAGAGAGAAAGAGAGAGAACGAATGAGAGAGACCGAGAGAAAGAATGAGGGGGGGGGGGAACATGTCTCCTGCCAAGAAAACTGATATAAAATATACTAACTTTTTCCAGCTGTCAAAATTAATATCTTTGGCTCTAGCCACTTTCCCTAAACTTTGATTTCCATTATATAGGCAGGCCCTCATTTTCTGGGTCCCAAAGGATTGAAACCAAGACTGGTGATTCACAAAGAGAACTCCAAAAGGAACTGTTCATACTGGATAAACAGGCTTTAAAAATAGCAGAAGCACCATAATACAGCAAAAGCAAATACATAGTGGAGCAAAATATCAACACTTTTGTGAGTGTGTGTGATATTGATTAATTGATTAATACAGTAGATACTAGTAAATAGTAAATACAGTAAATATAGTGGCTAAAAACAGCTTTTGCTTTGGGAATTGGATTAAAATAATGAAAGCATTGGACTGAACAGAAAATAGGTTTTTGGAATGCAAATGGACGAATGTATGAAAATTGAAACACAGCATAAAGTTGCGATTAAAAAAGTAAATATCTCCAAGGTGGCTGGAGAATTGTGGGAGTTGAAGTCCACATATCTTCAAGATTGAGAAATAATTGTCATTGCCTCCTTTCTGGGACTGAGAAAAAGTGACACATCCAAGGTCACTCACCTGGCTTTGTGCCTAAAGTGGGTCTAGAACTCACAGTCTCCTGGTTTCTAGCTTGATACCTTAACCACTACATCAAATTGGCTCTCAAACAAACCAGTACTATTTTTGTAATTACAATATTTATTTTAGGGTACATAATCAGGCTGATACCTTTAGTATACATAGGGCTAAAAAGGAGAATTAAACTGATTTTTTTTTTAAAAAAAAGGAAGAATACGAGTTTTTTTTTTAATTATTTTTTTTTTTTTGTAGCTGAAGTAACAATTTCTATAATACTTCTTCTTCAGATGCCACTCGTTTCTTTTCCATTTGTTTTAAAGCTTTATGTGGCTGGGTATTAATCCATTATATACCAGACAGACATTCTAATAAACAAAGGGTCTGAGACAGCTCAGGATTTTATTAATATATCTACCAGTTTGGCTCCATTAATTGCCCTTCAATTTCACAGCTCTCCTCAGGATCCTCAGCTGTGCTTTTCTCAGTTCCTTGACACAGAGTTTATTAAGCAATCTGATCTGCTTTTGATCTCTCTTGACTGTCATCAGAGTTTCTTGATCTAGTTGTGTCTTTTGGTAATGACGAAAAGCTATGACTTTTGGTAAGTCACTCATTCCGCACTCAAAATGTTAGTGCTTGCTACAAGACCTAAATTACCTCACTGTCTTAAAGCTCATCGAATGGCTGGGTCCATTGAAACAACACAAGGCTATTTTACATGTAATATTGATATCGATTTCTGAAAAGCTTCATCCCTCCCACCACAATCGCACACATTTTAGAACTAACTGAAAATAGGACTTTAAAGTGCACATTTTCAAGATGCTTCAGTTCTAGTTAGGAAAAAAAAGTTTTGCAAATATGCACATCTACCCAGAAGTAAACCTCTTTTAAGTTGAGATAAACTTATTCCCAATTTATGCCAAGACGCAGTGTTAGACAAACCTCCTTCAAAATTTGCTGCAGCATAATCCTAATTTGGGAAATTTAATTTTGGGTACTCTGAAAATCTCACTTTACTTGATCATAATATTTTTATTAGATATTTTAAAAAATAGCTTGGAAATAAGATTGATGGCCATCAGATATTATTATTATTATTATTATTATTATTATTATTATTATTATTATTATTATTATTATTATTATTATTATTATTATTATTATTATTTATTTGCCACCCATCTTGCAGTTCAAAGTGACTATGAGTGACATATGTTGGTTCTTAGGATCTTAAGTAAGACATACATACAGAGAAGCTATTCCACAGGGTGAAACCTTGGACACCTACAGGAATTACCTCTTATCTATATCTATTATATAGTATATGAAGGGAGCAGGAAAGGCCTCTAAAGAAGAAAATGGACACAGAGGAACTCTTGGTATCTACATTAAGAAGTACTTTATGTACTTCTATTAATTAACCTAAAAAGCAAAACTTTGTCTGCTTTTTTTAAAAAAGCAAATAAATAAAAGGCAGTTTTATGTAGCAATTAAGGTAATGAGCTAACAGGGAAGCCATGAGTTCTAGTCCCGCCTTAGGCACAAAGCCAGTTGGGTGACCTCAGGAGGAGTCACTCCCTTAGTTCTAGGAAACAGGCAATGGATAATCATTTCCTAAATCTTGCCAAGAAAAATTGCAGGATTACTACTGGCAGTTACTAGGACTCAACCCTGAATCGAAAGGGATATCCCTCCTACCCCCGCCACCCTCAGTAAAAACATCAGTATCAATAATGAAGGACTTACTAGTTAGAACTTAATGTATGTTGTGGAGAAGTGTTCATTGCACTATTTAAATCATAGCAGACAGTGGTGGAAACTTTAGCTCAGGCGTCTGTAGCATGCCACCCTTGATGCTAAACACCTGCTAAATCTTCTGTAAACAACTCAGGTATAAAATGGTTTTTTTTAAACTTGTAATCTTATAACATTGCTAGGAAGAGGTATTCTCTTGAGGCATGGTGTTATGATATCCATTGCTGGGGAAAGCCACTCCCTGCTCTAAATTATAAGAACTAAGTGAAACAAACCGGCTCAGTTTAGCCACAATTCAGTAAGTGAAATTCCAACTGTATCAAAATCCAAATTTGAATCTAAGAGATTTTACTTTCAGACATCTACGTGATTATACATAACTTTAAAAATACAAGATCAGTAAATATGAACTCAAAAAAAGTGGAAAAAGTCATAATCTTATTCAATGATAACTTATAATTATATAACAATATTGAGACCATGCCATATTATTATTTGAATTACTCCGATTTACTTCACAATGTACTATATGATTCACAGTCAACATTAGGAAACATTATACCATTGAAATATGTAGGTTATAAGTAGGTTAAAACATAATTCCCTATAGAA